GTGCGCAACACACTGTTTTAAGAATGCAGGCACTTTCTTGGCTGTTTCGTGTCTACATTTTTTCCTAAGATTGTATGTATCGTTTCACTTAAGGTACTTAGAATACAAAAACTTTAAATACAAATTTTAACATAAAAAATATAGTTCTACCTTGCAAGTCCTATGTTTGCCCTTCCTAGCCCTTTTTTCTCTACTGAGGAGGCGGAGTCTGTAAACAATAGGTTGAAGACTTTTCTCAGCTTGCTGCTCACATTAGCACTGAGGGCAGTCTTGTGTTTTGCATCTGTAAAGTGGATGAGCAAAGAACATGTAGCCTTCTGCTGTTTGCTGCTAGACATTTAAATCTAGACTCTACACATCCTTACATTATTTTTGTTTATATTTTTTATATTTCTGGAGTAAAAAGTAACCAGCAGATTACATTTAAAAAACACTAAAAAAAACACATAGTGGGTGTTTCTGAAACTGGGTTTTCAGTGACTGCGCACAGCATACCTAGTGGCCATTTTGAGATCCAGTTGAGCTAGATGAAAGAAGCAGAGACTATGAAGAGGGGGAGGGGAGCACACTGCGCAGAGTACGCAGTGTCATAGGGCTTTGCGTTTCCCTCATCCATGGCATTCTTCCATATTAACAACAAAAATCACAAAATCTACAACAATATTCTATATTGTTTTAGGGAGTCATTTTCAGCAAGAAGACCTTAGACTAATTTGTGTTTTGTCACCCATACCCTCATGTGCTTCATAATTAAAATCACAACATTAGATTGAGATGCCATCAGAACTTAAACTATTAACTTAATGCCACACCCTTAATGAAATCTTCAAGTGATCAATGGATAAGCATGCTTTGCTAGGCGACTGACTGTAGTTCTCTGCGCACAGCATGCCTAGTGGCCATTTTGAGTTTCAGTGGAGCCAGGAGCTAGTGGGGGAGGGGAGAGAAGCAGTAATGTTGCTGTGTTGGTCTTGTGCTTTCCTGACAATGCATTTAGGTAATTTTCCATTATTTATGGCAACTACAGAGTTGGAGAATATTTTTTATTTGATTATTAAATCTTACAAAATGCTTTCCGATGTGTAACCAAATTCTTATAACATAAACACAGAAGAATAGTCAAATCTTTTGAAAACATATTTTGTGTTTCTTTTGATTGGTATGGGTTCTCTCCTCGGACTTAATGCTTTACTATTTTGTTTTGTGGGTGGAGTTTATAAAGGGGTTGGCTAACACTCCCCACACTAGGTCCGGTGGCCTTTTGTGTTTCTGCAGCAGGACTTTGGGGGATGGGATTTGAACAAATAACTTCTGCTGCTTCTGCATCTCTGAACTTTTGATAAAAGGCTTCTCGTGTGTGGTAGAACATTGGGTAGAACGTACAAGGTTACTGATTACTGTTCTCAGGGTCTGCGCACACCAGACCGTTTTAGTAGAGCAGTAGGAGAGCAGAGACTGGCATGGGGGAGGGGAGCACTGTGCGCAGAGAGCGTTGTGTTGTAGGTCTCTGCACATTCTTGACTATTAAAGTAGGCATCTTTCCTAAAGGCCATCATCAAAAATTAAATTAATTATTTTCAAATTCAGAAACTGTAAATTACTCCTCCCCCTAACCAGTTCAAGAATGTTGAAGTTGAGGACATAAACACTGAAGGATTTCCTATTTGTATATTAGGCTACACTGTGTTTTTCCTCCCTTTTTAATAGAAATAAGTCATTTTTGTCCTTTTTCTTTTTTCATTGTTGGAGGCGGAGCCTGCGAGGGATAGACTACAGCCCATGCTCTGCTCACAGGAGCACTGGTGGCCATTTTGTGCTACAATAAAGTGGGGGATGGGTATAACCCATGTGACATAATGGATTGTTACTTTAGCCTGCAGTAAAGGTGACGTTTGCGACCAGGTAAAACAAAAGCTACAACTAGGTAGCTAAGTAAAAGTATTGATGAGAAAATGGTAAAATGTGTGCATTCCTTTTTTTTTTTTATTATTAAATGGTTTTACAGGCTGAATAATAGTGAACAATTATGTAGAATAGGGAATGCATCCTCTTATTAAAATCCCCCAGTTGCAATATACAATTTTAATTTTGTAAGTATTTATTGCTTTTTTCCTCTTAATATTTTTATTGTAACAAATGCTAGACATTTGAAAGTGATGTTTTATAGAATGGTCAGAAATGGTTACATTTCGGTGCATACATGATCAAAGATAGTATTAGGATTAGATAGCGATTTGGCCTACATGCAGGACAAGCACAAGGACTCTGATGGACTCCATGTTTTGACTATGATATACTCGTGACTGTCTCTGTGACACGTATGTCTTTCGATGTGTGACGTAGCAATGACTATATAAACTGTGTACTGCCTTTATTCTGTCTGAGAGAAAGAAACAATTGAAACCACTGGAACTTGAGAGAAACTTAAATAAACTTCCAGAGTTTGGCGCACCACGATCCGTCTGTCTTGTTCATTCCTGACAATAGAATTTTTAAGCATCTTATTCTAACGCTTCAAATGCTTCAGTTGTGGGATCAATGCGAGAGCTGTTCTTTAAAAAATAATTAAATGATCTACTTTGCTTTAATGGAACAAAAACTTATTTTAAATGTGTCTTGTTTTGGATTTCAGTTTACATTGCTGTTCTAAATGCATTCTTCCTAGGGCTTGTTTGTTACCCATTCAGTAGGCGGAGCCTGTTGAGGACAAGCTGCCGTTAGTGCTCAGCTTTCTGTTCTCTGGAGCACTGGTGGCCATTTTGTATGCCTGCAAAAATAAATTGGGGGATGGGTTTTCAAACATCTCACTTTTTAAAATTTTATAAACAGTCATTATCAAGACTTGGACTAGACAAGCCTTAAAGTTTAACTACAGATTTTTAAATGCAAATGTGTAAACACGTAAAATAAGGAAAAATCTGTCCACAAAATGTTATAATTTGTGTGTCAAAGTAACATTTTACCTAGTTGCTGATTGGAGCTTCTAGTGACTCTGCACAGCATACCTAGTGGCCATTTTGATTTTCAGTCGTGCAAGAATATGAGCAGAGACTATGTAGTGGGGGAGGGGAGGACTTTGCAGTGTTGCAGAAATGCAGTTCATTAACTGGTAACATTTTCATACTTTATAGTTCATCTGCTTACATTGGTACCATCTCATTATGAAATTATGAGATTACTTTACCAAACATGTAATTTTTCAGTACAAGCTATTTTTTAGTTTCCACATGCATTGTGGATGTTTTCTTTCTCCATTTTTAGGGGGGATGTTTTAAGACATTGTATTAGGACTAGGACAAATTTTATTTTTGTGTGTGGGCGGAGCCTGTAAATGGTCTGCTGATGTTTGTGCTCGACATGCTGCTGTGAGTCGTTCTGGTCGCCATTTTTGTTTGTGCAGTGGTGTGGGGGATGGGTAAAGACATCAAACACTCAGTTCTAAATCTGTTAGAAAAGATTTGTAAAGGAAACTCTTTTTATTTCCCACATGATTTACATGAATAAGTTAATGTAGTTAGCAATTTAGAAACGATTGAACTTATCTGGTGAACATGTTCATATTACACAGCTGTGTGGGTGTGTGTGAACACACAGCACACAACTTCTATTATGAATATATTTTTTTTTCCCCTAAAGTTTCATGTTTGATACTTTTTTTGTTGCCTTCTTACGCCCTACCCCCTCAATGAAAATGGTTTCACCCAAGTGATTGTCGAAGAGAAGTGGGCGGTACTTACAGACTTCCAAGCTGTTTTTTATGTTAGCCTATCAATGTTAGAAAATATATATATGTATTAAGAGATCATCAAAACAACTTCATCTGTGTAACATATCTCCATTTATTATAGTCTATTTTTCATGAATTTCATCTCTGAGAATGGGCTTTGCCATGTATGACCGTCGCAGAGGTTCCAGAGAGCGCGAGTGCTCTCTGTGTGTCTGAGTGTGTGTGTGTGTGTGTGAAGCAGGGAGACAGCTTCAGAAAGGGAGGGGGTTCTCGTAGGGGCACTTTTTGCATTCACTAGGTTCCATGTGATGTCTTTTTATTTTTTTAATTATTATTTTTTCATTTCCTTTTAGTTTCATCTGCCTTCAAAATGTAACAACTGATTATCATTGTTACTATAAAAAAAAATTAAAGAAGAAAAACAACTATTTTACGTCATTTATACATCATTAATGTATAATTAATGGAAAACTCATACGAGAATTCACATTCTGAAAAACGTTTTTTCTTTTTTGTTAAAACATGCTCCCCCGTCAAACATAAATGGTTTAGGCCAAGTTGTCAGTAGATTTCCATGCGTGCGCTGTAGTCTGTGTTAAAGGTGGGGGATGGGTGTTGCTATGTGACTACCAGTCTGTGCTCTACTTGCCATGACTGTGCTAGGTATAGTTGCATGAACACCATGCGCTAATATAAACTAAAACTATTTTACATTAAGCGTGTGCATTTTTAAAATCTTAATTTCACACACATTTTCTTTTACAATTTAGTTCAGTAGAAGTAAGTCCCGCCTCCTGTGTCGACATACCTGGCCTTTGTCAATAATGTAACTGCGATTTCTTTTTTTGGGACATGGTCTTAGACAATCAGTCAGGAAACTTTTTTGTGTGCATTTTTCTACAACATTTTCAGACATAATTTATAATTCAATTCATGTAGATTCTCTTAGTCACCATAATGCACATGGTATATCACTTGTCTCTGTTGGTCATGGCCAACAACTCTTGAAAGCAGCAGAGCTGCGGCCATCTTCAGCTACTGCGCTGAATCGAGGCGCAGTCACTGAGACTCTCGGAAAGGGAGAGAAACAGGCTCTGCACTGTGTGCGCAATGCAGTATGGGCAACCAATACGGCTCAAAATATATCACCGTATGTACACTGTCTTAACACTGACATTCTGAATGTTATTTTCTTGAAACTTATGGTTGTAAAGTTTCATAGAATTTTTTGTGCTGTGATAAAAGTTGACTAAAATAATATTCTCTCTTATAGGTTGATGACATCTATGTCCATGAATCCTTCAACCTGAAGGTGAGTTTCTGTGAATAATGGATCGTTGTATCAATGGAACATGTTTTTCTCCATGTAAATAGTTTGAAAATGTATAACTTAACTTCCACTATTCAATGTTCAATTGTTTTTAAATACACTCTTCACAACACGCATAACTGTTGTAGCTCAACACTTCGTACTCAGAGACAGTAATTCAACTTGTGTGAGGTGATCCTTGGCTTTTATTAAGCAAAGGTTCAATTTGTTTTACAGATCAAATCGTAAAGGCGTTAAGATAATTTCCTAATGTTTACATGGAACATTCTAGAAAGAATATAGCTGCACAGGGCTGTGTAGTGCCCCCTGGTGTTTGCCAAGAAAGTTGCATGTATGGCATTTATGTGTATGTTTTCACTCTTGCTTCAGTTAGCACTTTTTAAAACTTGTTTTTCTCTCAGGGAGCGATGGAAGTTGTTGTGACTGAGGAGAAAAAGAAAATTTTCCGTGCCAGAAAAACTATGAAGCTCAGTGATCGTCAGCAACTTGAGACTCTGCATAGCACTTTAATGACATCGTCTTCAAGTTCATCCAACTCTCCTCCACTGCTCATGAACGGTACTCACAAAGAGGAGGAACTAAAGCTGGAAGAGAATCAACCAGATGGATTAGAATCACTCCCTCCAAATGCTACAAGTCCTTCGTCTCCAGCTCCGGGACTCTGCCTAAATCTGTCGCCCTCCCCTGGCGCTTCAACAAGTCCAAAGGCACAGGAAGATCAGCCTACGTCCCCGGGATCACCATTTCATTCTTTAAACTCTGAACTAAAAAAGCTGGAGACAAATGATTCGGGCCCTTCATTGCCAACTTTAAACTTGGACATAGCATCTGAAAACAAATCTGAGCAACCACAGGAAGTCCACAAAGAGCTAGTCGCTGGAAATGAAGCGGTAGGTCTTATTGTTCATTCAGGCACTTGGTATAGTCAGGAACCTTAATATTATGTATCTTTTCTTTTTAGGGACAAAAGGAGGTTGCAGAGGATCAAGTAGCATCTAATTCCGTTCAGGATTCTGAGTCCTTGCCTCTGCAGTCTCCTGTGACACCACCTGATTGTTCTGAACCCATGGAAACAGAGAATGACTTATCAAAACCAGTGGATTCTGTAGAAACTAAAAAACCTAGTGAGGAAGAACCACTTTCCCCGCCATCTTCAAATGAGGCTGAGGATGTTTCTTCACCTGCGGCAGCTTGTAGTGCGGATGCTACAGTTATTGGAATAGACAGTAAAAATGAGGATACCAAGAAAAAGAATATTTCTGTTGTGCCAAAGGAATCTCTTGATAGGGTTGATGAAAAAACGGAAATTAAAAATGAAATAGACGTGATGAAACAAACCCGCCCATCTTCTACACCACCGTCAAATACAGGTAGACAATTGGATCACAATTTCTTGTTTATCTGTCTACATTGTTTGTTTCCTTTATGCACGCTAAGTAAGTCTAACTTTGGTCTTCATGTTTTTTTAAGTTAAAGAGGAGAAAGTGTCAACAGGACTAAAACGGACACTTTCAGAAGGATTTGAACCCAAGGGACCCTGTATAAGCAGAGACTTCAAAAGGCCAAAGATGGATAGTGAAGAGTTTGAAGCAGAGCTTGAGCTCAAAATCACTGCAAAAGCTGGGAAACACCATAAACTTGAACAGGTTAATATGCTCAATTTGCTCAATATTGGAAGTATTGTCCATCTAATCACAAAGTTAATTATTTTATCTCTCTCTAGATTGTTCAAAAGATTGTTGAGGAAAAACTGAGAGTGTTGGAGATGTCCATTTTTGATCGAAATCTTAAAGATTTAAAGAACAGGGTTGACCATATCGACTGTACCACTAAACATCACACAGCTATTAATACACTACAGGTAAGTCCGGCTTTTTTGGGAATTTCATCTGATGAAAAGACTGTTTACTGTGATCCAAGACTTTAATTGTTTTCCTCGTTGTGCAGGCCAAATTAGCACGGCTGGCAAAAAAATCTGGAGAGGCGAATCAGGCTTCTGAAAATAAAAGGAAACAGGAGGTGAGAAGTCCTTTTGTTTCTATTGTCTGGTGTGTAGTATATATACAATACATGTGTGTGTTCTATCCGTTGCATCCGATGCATCCGTTGCACTGATGCATTATCATTGCCTGTTGGGTGATTCAAAGCAAGAAATATAGAAATTGGTTACTTTTGATAACTTTCCAACGAAAACATTAAAGTCTGTTTACATATGTTATACATTTATTGTTGTGTAAAATGTGTGAGAATTTTTCTTTGCTTTTTCTTTTTGTGTGTGTGTGATTTTTATCAAATAAAAGCTCAACCACATCCTTTTTCTTGGCAGCAATGCTGACGACATCACTCAAACTAAATATGTTGAACTAATTGGGAGATCAGGGTTAATTTTCCTAATCAGGGGAAAGCCAGAAAATTGGCAACAGAACTTTGATTAATCAGCTTTTAAACGCCTATTATAGTAGTTGATGGTATTGCACCAAATGTATAATGTTTGAACATTTTCTTTTATAACCTCAGCCAGCCATGCTACACGGTTTTAATGCACAATTCAAGAATACCACTACACCTCCAACATTTACCTCCCCCTCATGCTTTAAACATGTTATAATGTTTCCCTTGTAGGCACTTGCTGCTGCCGCTGCTGCCGCTGCTGTTGCCTCTGCTGCTGCGACTGCGAACACTACCCAGACTACAGTTCCTGTCACAAAGACGCTTTCCAGCAGTCCTCAGATTCAAAGGTTAGAAAACTCTCATTATCATTGATCCTTTTACAGTTGTGTTCAAAATAAGTGTCTGTGTGTATATCAAACATAAAATATATACGGTGTATTAAATTTAAAAAAAAGGAAAACAAATATTTGTTCAAAAAGTATATAATTATTCAAACACAAAGAAAAACAGGGCAACATTTTGTGAACGGATTTTTTTATTATTGCAATCTATTATTGCATACGAGGACCAAAAATGTATAAGTATTAAATACATAGATTATAAAATGGCTTCATTCCTTAGTCAATTCTGCCCTTTAGATGGGTTGCGGTGGCAGTGCAGATAAGGGCTTAGTTTAACTTTAGTCAAAGATTGTTCAAATGGAAATAAAGGAAATGTGACTTTTTATTGTCAATAGGTCTGTTCGTAATCCAGTGGAGATAAAACAGATCCCAAAAATTACGGTTCCACAATCAACCAGCATTCCTGCGCCAGGTATGTGCAATGGTAATCTCTACTCATCTGTAGGCCAGAAAATGGGCATCTACCAATCTTGTTTCAATTTTTCTTTCAGCCACAACAACTGCTGCAATCTCAACCCCAGTTCCCACAACCGCAACTTTGGTGTCTCAGTCCTCTATTCTCCAACTGATTGCCTCCACCTCTAATGCAGTCTCTAACTTGCCAGCCAACAGCACAACGAGCACCACGAGCACGCTAGTGTTGAAGAACGGCATGATGGCGACGGGCCAGCCACTGCTCATCCAGCTGCCTCTGTCCATGGCGAATGGTCAAGCAGGAACTCTTGTGAACATTCCTGTGTCCTCTTTGAATGCGGTCACGTCTTTAAACAAGTCAAAGACCACTGCACCCACTACAACTTTTATTCTGAAATCCGCTCCTTCAGCCGCCTCTGTGGCCTCCGCTTTAACTGGTGCTTCACTGCCCACTCTCCAAGCTCCCGTGTCTCAGGTGCCCACTTCCCAAATCTCTCTTGCCCGAGCAGTGTACCAAGGCGGTGCTGGGGGAATAACCACACCCCACTCAGGGGTATCTGTGGCTTCAATAAGGGCCCCGACACAGGTTGTCTCTGTCGCTGGAGCCATGGCCTCAACTTCATCACCTGTGACATCTGTGCCAGCTGCTACTGGATGTACTGCTCCTGGGCCGCCTCAAGGAACTTCACTAACCACCAAGACAGGTATGGTCAAAGAGGTTTAGATGTACTCCATGTCTAAGGAAGCGCAAAGTCACATGGCAGGAGCTCTGAGTAGAGCCGCTGCTTCTCCACATTTAGGGGAGCCAGTTGAGGTGGCTGTTTAGGATGCCTCCTGGATTCCTCCCTGGGGAGGTGTCCCAGGCTTGTCCTGGCATGGGGAAACCCTGGGGAAGAACCAGGACACGTTGGAAGGACTATGTCTCTCAACTCCCCTGGGATGTCTCAGGAGAATGAGCTGGGGGAAATCTGTGTGGATAGGGAAGTCCGGGCGTTTCTGCTTTGTCCGCTGCCTCCACGACCTGGCATGTGACAAAGCAGAAGAAAATTGATGGATGGATGATTGAGTTGGAATTTATTGTTGTTGGCATTTTCTTCTTGCAGACAACCTAGCCCCTGGACCCTCTCCATCCAAAGTGGCACCTTCTACAGCTCGACCAAAAGGCTCCGTCATCGACCTTACTGAAGAAGATGATGATGTTTTGGGTAATTATGTATTGACATATAAAACAATATGTTACTTGAAGTAATATTCAACCTTTATCTCATTATAATTTGTTTCTTTGTGTTAAGTCACAGGAGTAAAAAACGCCACAGTTCCAACACCCAATGCTGTACGCCCCCAAATAAGTAAGTCATTTTTTCTTTGCCAACATTAGCAATAACTATTAATAAGTCAACAACATTCTGAGGTTATATAATTGGTTATTTCAGGTACAGCCAGATCATCCCCCCAGACCAACCAAACAGCTACCAACAATCCTCAACTTCCAACCCATCATCGCCCTCTACTGGTAAGGATTGGATACTGACCATATACTGTGTGTGTGTGTATGTATGTTGTATTATTTAAATATATATATATATATTTACATCTTTTTTTTTTCTTTTTTTATAGGACCCAAAATCCAGAAATTCCACTTCTACTCCTACTCGAGGCAACAGTGTTGCACTCCCTCCACTTCCGTCTGCCCCTGCACCATCATGCTTACCTCCAGAAGCAGAAAAGACCTCAGTCCCTCAACAACCTCAGCTAAAGCTCGTGCCAAGTCAGACTGGCATTGTCCTTTCATGGTGTGTAGCAGAAACTGATTTGACCTGTGCAGCTGTGGACAGCTACCACCTTTATGCCTTCCATCAGGACAACTCTAATAACAACCCGTCTCAACAGCACTGGAAAAAGATTGGGGAGGTCAAGGCCCTTCCGCTGCCAATGGCCTGCACCCTCACGCAGTTTCAAACTGGCTCAACTTATCACTTTGCTGTCAGAGCGAAAGACGTATATGGGCGATTTGGTGCTTTCTGTGAACCACAGTGCACTAATGTTATCAATTCAAGCTCTAGTAGTTGAACCAGTCAGAAAGTAAGACAATAACTGCTCATTCCATTGGAGATTACGTTTTTGAAACCTGGACTTGTCTGCATTTGTAAATAATGATTGTGCATTAACTGGACTGTTCACTGACATGAGATTGATAATGTCTAGTGGTTTTGTCCAGTGTCATAATGTACTCTGCAGGCGCTATATTTATGTTGTGACTCCCGTTCCTTTAATTCATATGTCAAATTGTTTTACTTGACATTGAGCAACAGGATTTACTCTTGACACAATTGCACAGAACCGTATTCATGTGTGGTAGATGCTGATTTTTGTAAGTTTTGTCTGGCAACCAGACTTTGACAAACATAATAAAGTTTTTATTTAATTCTTGGTTTATATTTTTTATAAACTGTGGATCATGCAGTTTCAGACACACAGTCTGTGTAACTACACAGTGCCGTGTTGCACATTTCAGAGTTCAGAAGATATTCTCCAAGAACAAGTCAGGTGTGTGCATGTAATGTAAAAAGTATATTTTGAGCATTCACTAAAGATACAGTGGCCCTTGTGCTGTTTGGGGATGCTACAGACAAACTACTGTACTTGAAAGCCGTTGGACCTTTAAAGGTATGTGTCGATGCTAACGCTAAAGTTGTTAGCAGTCTCGGTAGTTGTTGTTTGATGTTGTGTTTGTTTCGAGGAAACTAGTTGTGTCAAATAAATTCCCCCGCCGATGTCTTTCTCCAACGTCAGAATAAACTGCGTGTGTGAGATGGGGCAAACTTTTATTGACGCGAGCTGTATCTCGTTCCAAAAGGCTGAGAGATCAGGGATTAAAATATTTTGATTGAATTCATTAGGTGCGCATGAGAAACATAATTTATTACAAAATATTGTGGAAGGTGAATGGAGAGAAGCGAAGACATCAAATATATTCATTTTAATCACAAAATCACTTTGTCTAGAACAGTACTGTTCCCCCAACCATTTGTTGCAGACTTTTTTCACTGTAATCCCACACCTCTACCACATGATGGCGACACCAAAGGGGTCCCATTATAAAGTTACGCTAGCTGCTTTCTCCTCTTCAGAACAAAAACAATGGCGAACCAAGCTGTTTGAGCTCATTAAATCTGTATTCTTGGCATAGGTTTATGTGACCATACTTAGTGACTCATTGTTTCATAACCAATTTCAACTGTGATGCTGTGAATAAAGACCAAAGACACAGTTCTTGTTGGAAACATGAGCCGCATTTCCACCGCAGGAACTTCGGGGTAATTTCAGTTGGTGTGTGTGTCTCCCATAGACTGTGTCTCCACTGCAGGAAGATCCCCCAAAGGGCCATTTACAGGAACTTTAAGGGGACGAACCATGGATCTATCCCACCAGCGGGTACAGGGTACGCCCAAGGTACTGCAGACTAAATTCACATGGGCTACCCAGAAATGTCCTATAGAAGTTAATGCAAACCAAAAACAGATCAACCTCAGCTGACAGAGAACCTACAGCTTTCATAAAGGTCAGATTTTGTGGGGATTTAAGTGTTCCTTGTCGTGCTGAACTTTTTTTATTGTCAAATCTTTCAGTTTTCATTGAATCCACAACAATCCTATGCCACAAACTGCTAGTTTGTGGCATAGTATTGCTCGTCCGCTGCGCATAACCGGTGTTCTGTCGAAGTGCACCCTTGTCGAGATTTGCCCCCTTTGTTGAACTGTGCATCCTCCCCACCCGCCGAAAGCAACTGTCCATAGCTTAGTCATTATGAATGTTTACTTATTAAACATGTCAACATATTTATGATTTATTAGATTTAATAAAAGGTAGTATATTAGTTTAATGTACTGAATACATGGCGTGCACTCTTTGTCAAAATTTGCCTCCCCACCCGTCGAAAGAGAACACGTTATCACCACTTTTACAGCCAGTATTTTGATCTTTTAAAAAGGAAAAGCGAGTAGCTTAGAATGTTATATTATATATGTGTATACTACATCTTTATTATCTTACTGCGCAATTGTGCAATAGTTGATAATGTAGAAGTCCAGACGCCAACTTAAGACGTATATTTATTTACATTATTGTCCAAATTTTCACGTGAATTTGAACTAGTACTACATCACTGTAATGTCTAGTGCCATAGTGTTCAGCACAAAATACAAGAGTGTAATCTTGTTTATTGTAAATAAAACTACTCGCGTGAAGCTGGAGATGCAAAATCCGATGGCTCGATAAACCTACTTTGACGCATGCGCAGATGCACTAGATAATATGTTTCGACGGGGGGGGGGGCGTCTCGACAGAACACCGGGAGGACCAGAGGATGCCCAAACATAGGGGCTAGTTCCACTAATCTTCCAGTAATCTTTCCATGGCTGTCCCATGCGCTACTGAGCACAAGCCATTGATTTGAATAGGGCACCATCTTGGATCAGCAGGGCTTGGAATCAACGGAGTACCTCCTACGTGCCAAGTATTCCGTTTGGCCATGAACAGCTCTTGGGTGAAGCTTTAAAAAGCAGAAAGCACCAAAACAACTAGCCTTTTTAAAATCTAACAGCATTAGCCTAGCAGACACTACTGGAAACGGCAAACAACAACAGTTAGATGTACAATAAATGGACGGATGATGAGGTGCAGGCAATTTCCTTCTAAGGCACTGTTACGGCCCGGCTCGGGAACCGCAACAAAAGAGGGAGGACACGACAACTGGAGCGATTTAAACCCTCGATGGGGCATTTATTGTAAATAAGATAAATCAATCTGCATGTAGTCGGTGTAAGTGAATTGTATGCTGTGGAGGTGCAGGGTGCTGCATATGAAAGTCAGTAAGATTACCTTGTGTAGTGCAAATGTTGTGTTGTAGTGCGTGTAAATGAACAAAAACAGACTGGCGTGGCGTTGTGGCTGGTGAGTGAGGACCCAAGCTGGTGGCGGCAGTCCGGGCACGCCGGCAGGTGCCCAGAAGCCAGGTGAGAGAAAGTGAGTGAGAGGAAGGCGCTTTTTGAAGCATCCGGGAGCCTCACGTGACCTCCCGGCCGCCTGCTATTGTCTCTCCTCAGTCATAAACTGCCCCCACAGGACCAGCAGAGGGGGCCATCACAGGCACCGAAGAAATTCAATGGGGTTTGAGGCATCCTGGCGAAATGCAAAGATATAAGATATATTAGCGCACCTTGAAACACTGGGGATATATCACACTCGGAAACAATGCAGTGAAAAATTAAGAAAAGACACTCAAAGACCACAAAAACCGGAGCGGCTTAGACGTAAAATAAATAATTATTGAGTACGCAGCGATCAAAACTCGTGACGTGGAGACACGGCCACTGAGAGGACAATTTCTGTAGCTGTCCCACCCCCCTCCTTTTACCAGGAACTCATGCGGTGGAAACGTGACTGTAAGGCAAGGCAAGTTTATTTATATAGCACAATTCATACACAAGGCAATTCAAAGTGCTGAACAAAATAAAGGATTAAAATCATAAATAATTACAGAACATTAAAAAGAAAGATAAAAATATAAAATCCCTCAGTTGTATGCACAGCTAAACAGAACTGTCTTTAACCTGGTTTTAAACATTGTCATTGAGGAGAAGACTGTTCCAGATTTTAGCAGCATGAATCTGAAAAGCAGCCTCCCCATGTTTAGTTCTGACTCTGGGCACTAACAGGAGTCCAGTCCCTGTGCTCCTCAGAGTCCGGGCTGGTTCATATGGTACTAACATGTCACTAATATATTTTGGTGCGAGGCCATGGAGAGACTTGTAACAAGCTGAGCTGTTTTCAAGTCAATTCTCTGAGCCACAGGAAGCCAGTGCAGAGACCTGAGAACTGGACTAATGTGGTCGTACTTCCTGGTTCTAGTCAGGACTCGAGCTGCTGCATTTTGAATGTACTGCAGCTGTTTTACAGCCTGTTTGGACAGACCTGTGAGCAGGCCATTGCAGTAGTCTAACCTACTGGAGACAAATGCATGGATAAGAATCTCCAGGTCTGCTTTAGACACTATGTTTTTGATCCTGGCAATGTTTTTTGGATGGTAAAAAGCTGCTGATGTTACTGATTTGATGTGGCTATTAAAATTTAAGTCTGAGTCCAGTATTACCCCTAGATTTCTGACCTTGTTTTAAGCTTAGCGTACATCGGACTGGCAACTGATTATATCGTCGCATATGAGTTGCTGCCAAGCACACATCGACAATCTGACGAAAACGGGCAACTCCCAGTGGCAGACCAGTCTCGGGAATAACAGCGCGTACATCGACAGCAACTGGCCTCAACTACAGTGTGTTTTCTGACATAAACTGTTGCGGGCTCGCAATACACGCAATACACACACGTTGTCGGAGCGGCGCATGGAGCGCGCACATCGGGTCATATCTCCGAAACTGAGGACAACTAGTTGCCGAAAAGTAGAACACGGGCAACTGACTGAAACTGGAGACCGACTGATCATCTCCAGTTGTAAGAGCGCGCACATCGACCGATTTCGGCAACTGATCATCTCCCACCATCTCCTCTCAGTTGCCAAAAGCCGCCTTGCAACTAGTTGTCCCCAGTTTCTCTGTCGATGTACGCTAGGCTTTAGGGAGAGAGACTCTAGGTGACAGATGACACTCTCTCTTTGTTTCTGGGGACCAAAGACAATCATTTCAGTTTTGTCTGCGTTTAGCTGAAGGAAGTTGTTTTGCATCCACTCACTGATCTGTTGGATACAGTGAAGGACTGAGTCCACTGGTCCATGTTCTCCTGCAGTCAGTGAGACATAGATCTGAGTGTCGTCTGCATAGTTGTGATAGGACACTTTGTTTCTGTGTATTAACTGACCTAACGGCAGCATGTAGAGAGAACAGAAGAGGTCCCAGGATTGACCCTGTGGTACTCCACAGGTCAGGGCCATATGATCTGAGACACAGTTTCCAATCTCCACTGTAGTTATTATGAAATTGTATTTGTGCGCAAACAAGCAATTCTTCTGAAGTTTTATCGATGGTGGAACTAGGGGTGCACGATATGTCAAAATATTCTTTCAACTCGATATGAATTTTGATAATCTGTATCATATCGGTTTAATGTTTGTGTCACTTTCGCTGCTTTGCTCGCCACCGCGGTAAAGTGGCCCGCATCTTTCAGCTCTATGAACAAGCGGCCCGCATCGGGGAAAATACGGTGCGCGTTTCTTTGAGAACTTACGGTAACAGCGGAACATCCTTTCGGAGTCACCCATTTTTATCGAACAGAAAGCGCGCTGGGGTCTGGGAGACACGTTTTTGTGATTAAAACCTTATAGAGATGCCACCCGGTACACATAGCACCAGCCCCCTACGATTCCTCCTGCAGATTGTGAGTCCTCAGGAGGATAGCCACTCTATTGTTTAAATATATAAAGTACACAATTTGGTCCGCTAGTGCAACTTTCAAGTATTGTAACTATTTACTGGAATAAGGTGTGCGACTAATTTCGCTGGATTCATGACCTCATGATTGCCCTCTACCACTGTACCAAAGACCAGAAACTTTTACTGTAGAAATTTGGAGAAATATGGAGTTAAAGTAGCCATTTTGGTCCAAAATAGCCTAAAAATGGTCAAAACATGTCACTTTTGATCTACTGTAACTTTTTACTGTAAAAAGGTGTGCGACTAATTTCACTGGATTCATGACCTCATGATTGCCCTCTACCACTTTACCAAAGACCAGAAACGTTTACTGTAGAAATATTGAGAAATATTGATTTTAAGTAGCCATTTTGGTCCAAAATAGCCTAAAATGGTCAAAACATGTCACTTTTGGTCTACTGTAACTTTTACTGTGGAAATTTTGAGAAATAATTAGTCAAAGTACCCCCCTTGGTAAAAAATACACAAAAGGGGCTACGGCCCCTTTTGTCGACAAGCGGAGGCTCTGCTCCGAGCTCCTTCCGTGTGACTGAGCTCCTCAACCTATCTCTAAAGGTGCTTTCAGACCAATAGCTTCAAAACGCTTTTGACGCGCAATATTTGACGCTGGGTCCGGTGTGAACGCCCCTTGGTGCTCGAAGCTCCTGACGCCGGGTGGGAGGAGCTTCTCTCGCTCCCGCCTGGAGCTCGCACTGATTCCCGCGGAGGAGCGCCTGTCTTTCAGTCTGCTGTGTCTGAGCCAGCTTTAGCTTGTTCTTATACTAAATAAATTACTTTAACTTCACAGCATATGTACATTGATTGTGTTACTTGCTTTTTAAGAACGTTACTATTCATACAAATAATATTACAAATAACAATAATGACAATGAAAAAGCAGTAGCAGCTACATGACAGCCCTGCTGCTGCTGCTGCTGCTCCTCGTCTCCAGATTGGTTGAAGCCCGGCGTCAAGCTCCAAAAGCTTTTCTCAACTTCGGCGTTAAGGAACTTTTTTACGACAAAAGAGACGCAAGCATTACGCGTGTCAAAAGCTTCAAGTGACGCGCATAATGCTCGCGTCTTTTGAAGCGCTTCAAGTGACGCCGGGCCTCTCAGCGTCACCTGACGCGCTTCACTATTCATTTTCAGTGCTAAACTGACGCTTTTCAAGTCTAAGTTGAGTCCGGGGTGAAAACACCTTAAGGGAGTGCCCAACCACTCTTTCCTACCGCCTGTATCTACAATCTCGTTTTCGGTCATTATCCAAAGCTCATGACCAGAGGTGATGGAGGGAACAAGAATTGACCGGTAAATCGAAAGTGGCCGCATCACTGCGCACGCTGCACCAATCCACCTGTCAATCCCATGCTCCATCCTTCCGTCACCCGTGAACAAGACCCCGAGATGTTTGAACTCCTCCACGTGAGGAAGGACCTCTCCACTTTGGCGGCACGGTGGCTGAGTGGATAGCACTCTCGCTTCTCAGCAAGAAGGTCCTGGGTTCGAATCCCAGTCGGAACAGTGCCTTACTGAGTGGAATTTGCATGTTCCCCGTGTCTGCATAGGTTTCCTCCGGGTGCTCCGGTTTCCCCTACCACTAAAAACATGCTCAATAGGTATTAATGGATAGGGAAGATTGGGGGCTGATCAGTGGGGGCGGGTCCCGGCTCGAAAGTGGCCAAAATGATGCGCTGACATGCTTGCAATACCACCCCAGGCCGATGGGGGTGGACCCGGAATAAGAATTAGCCAATGCTAACGTATAACATTGGCAGACCTCTCGAAAAGGATGGTCCAAAAGTCGCACACCTTTTTACAGTAAAAAGTTACAGTAGATCAAAAGTGACAAGGTTTTGACCATTTTTAGGCTATTTTGGACCAAAATGGCTACTTTAAATCAATATTTCTCAATGTTTCTACAGTAAAAGTTTGTGGTTTTTTGTACAGTGGTAGAGGGCAATCATGAGGTCATGAATCCAGTGAAATTAGTCGCACACCTTTTTACAGTAAAAAGTTACAGTAGATCAAAAGTGACATGTTTTGACTATTTTGGAGGTATTTTGGACCAAAATTGCTACTTTAAATCAATATTTCTCAATATTTCTACAGTAAATGTTTCTTGTCTTTGGTACAGTGGTAGAGGGCAATCATGAGGTCATGAATCCAGTGAAATTAGTCGCACACCTTTTTACAGTAAAAAGTTACAGTAGATCAAAAGTGACATTTTTTGACCATTTTTAGGCTATTTTGGACCCAAATGGCTACTTTAAATAAATATTTCTACAGTCAAATTTTCTGGTCTTTGGTACAGTGGTAGAGGGCAATCATGAGGTCATGAATCCAGTGAAATTAGTCGCACACCTTTTTACAGTAAAAAGTTACAGTAGATCAAAAGCGGGAATGTTTTTACAGTTTTGTGTATTTTGCACTAAAGTGTACTGTAGAACATTTCCACAGTAAAGGTGTGTGGTTGTAGGCACAGCGTTGAAGGCAACTATATCGAGGTCATGAACCCAGTGGAATAAGCCACACAAGTCTTTACTGTAAAAATGGACAGCTGCTGAAAATTTCACTTTTTGACCAAATTAAATGCTTTCCAAATATGGGTTTATTCACAAAAACGAGTCTCCTCAGCGCGCTTTCTGTTCGAGGAGAAAAGGTGACTCCGAAAGGCTGTTCCGCTATTACCGTAAGTAGTCAACAAAACGCGCACTGTTTTTCTCTCGATGCGGGCCGTTTTACTTCGGAGGTGAAAGATGCGGCCCACTTTACCGCGGTTGCTCGCCTGCCTTCTCTGCCCTGGCTGCTCGCCCCCTCTTCGTACTGTTGCTCCCCTCCAGAGGTGTGGACTCGAGTCATGTGACTTGGACTCGAGTCAGACTCGAGTCATGATTTTGATGACTTTAGACTCGACTTGACCAAATATAAAAAGACTTGCAACTCGACTTGGACTTTAACATCAATGACTCTGACTTTCACTTGGACTTGCGCCAATTGACTTGCAAAGACTTGCGTAACCCGGGCCATTTTTACCTTTCTCCGCATCTCTCTTTCTATCTATGCCGTCTCTGAAGAAACAAAGCCTCGCGGTAGTTGTAGCGCTCGCGCGAGAGTTCGAACGTGAGTTTCCCGCAGTTCGCGCAGCAACACTTCCCTAAACAAGCGGACTGCATTCACCGGTGGGTGTGTTGTCTAGGGGAGCTGGAAATGAGCGAGCTGCAGGTATTTATCGCGACCTAACGTCATATTTTGTTCTACAAACCGTAATTGATATGCTTTCACTACAGGCGCCTCATACAATTGAATCGACGCAGTTGTCACACTGTGTGCCGTGTTTTAAAGAGGAACTGGTGAGTCAAACTAGCGCTAGCCTGCGCTGCTCTGTTGGCTCTTTCTTATATTTTTCTGTGTGGGCGCCGAGGCCTATTATTATGAGTATGTTTTTGCTGTGCTCCTCCTGCTAAAGTTTGCATACATTAGATAGTTGTTTTGATTATGTGCACTAAGCTAGATTAATATTTGCACTATTGTTTATGGTTCATTGATATGAGAATCAGTACTTTGACTGATTGAATTAATTTATATGAGACATTTTATTATGTAATGATATATTGGTAATTGTTATGGCTTGGCTCTGAGCCACAACAAGAATAGGGGAGACGAGGCGGAATTAAAGTGCTCAAAAGTATATTTAATTGAGAGAACGGAATAACAAATATTAATATATACAAAAAGGTAAATATGGGGTGTGTTATGTAGAAGTCAGTGGTGTAGGTGCAGGTAATGCTTGTGTGCAGTGAGGGCGCCGTATGTGCGATATGAATGTAGGTGCATAAACCAAAAGACAAACTTAATAGTGCATGTTGAAGGAGAGCCAGGGAGGAGATGCAACAGGCACCAGGGCAGGAGTGGAATGGCCCTCAGGAGCGCGCAGAGAGAGCGCGTGCACCTATCCTCCAGGCTATATGCGCGTGCGCTGATTGCGTGCGCGAACACGCCCACTGCTTCAACGCCAACTGGTCCCCCTGTGCACACAGGAGACAGGAGCGGCAGGACGGAGACGCAGGAAAAGGCCCAGGCCCCCCATAAGGCCTAGCCCGTAACACCCCCCCCCCTTCAGGAAAGGGCCCATAATGGGTCCTAGACAAGCCCACAGAAACAAAACTAACAGCGTTGCTTACACTTAGCAGATAGAAGAGTCCCAGGAGAAGGAACCAACCGGTCAGCATTACTTTTAACTTGATTTCGACCCCTCTCAAACTGAATTTGGCGTACCTCGCACCATTCGTTGGCCCCGGGACACGGGAATCCCACCGTGCCGTCCCGGCGTAGCATAGCACGGTGGGGACGAAGCTCCAGGCTTCCTCACGGCCTAATGCGCCCGGGAGAGCGCATCGGCCACAGCGTTGTCCCGGCCCCGGATATGCTGGATGTCCAGGCTGTAAGACTGCGGTGGAGGGCCCAGCGCATGAGCCGCTGGTTTGGAGACTGCAGGCTACTGAGAAAGGTTAGCGGGTTATGGTCAGAAAAAACAGTCACTGTCCCTGAGCCCACATACACCCGAAAATGCTGTAAAGCCCACACAAGAGCTAACGTCTCCTTCTCGATAACCGAGTAGTTTAACTGATGTCTATTAAACTTTTTTGAGAAAAAGCAGACAGGCTTCCGAACACCCGCATCATCAGATTGAAGCAACACCGCCCCTGCCCCCACTAGGCTAGCGTCCACCTCAATTTGAAAAGGCCTATCCCATTTAGGAGCAGCCAACACTGGTGAGTTTGAAATGAGAGCTTTAAACCTCTCAAATGCCCTCTGACACAAATCAGACCAGACAAATGTAACCCTAGATTTTAACAGATTTGTCAATGGCGCCACCACAGTTGAAAAGTTGGAACAAAAGCACCTATAGTAGCCAACCATACCCAGGAACCTCATTAGCTCTTTTTTAGTAGCAGGCTGCGGAAAAATGTCAATAGCTTGAACTTTGGCTCGAACGGGTCGTACCGAGCCCTGACCAACCACTCGGCCCAAATAAATGACAGTCGCCTTGGCAAACTCACATTTAGCAAGGTTAACGGTCAAGTTAGCCCAAGACAAGCGCCCAAAAACTGCCTTTAGCCGACGTAGATGGTCATCCCAGCCATCTGAATAGACCACCACATCATCCAAATAGACAGCACACCCGTTCAGACCCCGCACCACAATATTCATCAAGCGCTGAAATGTTGCTGGCGCATTCCTCAACCCGAAAGGCATGACATTATAGGAATACAAACCAGTAGGAGTAATGAATGATGAGACCTGCTTTGCCCTGTCCGTCAATGGGACTTGCCAATACCCCTTAAGTAAGTCCAATTTGGTGACAAAGTTCGCCCCCCCCACCTGGTCCACGCAATCCTCCATACGAGGAAGGGGAAAGGAGTCAGGCTTCGTCACCGCGTTGACCTTACGAAAGTCAGTGCAAAAGCGAGGTGTATTATCTGACTTTGGGACAAGCAGACATGGCGAAGCCCAGCTGGAATCACAGGGCACTGCAATGTTATTATCAGTCATATATGCCACTTCACTGTCAAGCAACTTTAGCTTATCCGGATGAACACGATAAAAGCGCTGTCTAATAGGGTTTGCATCACCCACATCAACGTCATGTTTCAGGACAGTAGTGCGCGATGGAGTATCCCCAAACAAACCAGGGAACTGACGAATCAACTGTACCAACTGTAACTGCTTAGCCGGTTCCAAATACAATAAAGAGCTTTCCAAGGTCTCCAGAAACTCCTTATTCTTAAGACGCCCAGTTACTAATGAGTCATCAGGGTCTGTCGGCTCCTCCACAACTTGCTCTGCCACAGCCACCAAAGAAACCGACAACCTCTGAGGGTGAGCCCCAGACTGAGTCACCTCACGAGCAAAATAAGGCTTAAGCAGATTTACATGACATAACTGAGTTTTAGCCCTGCGCTCAGGTGTCGAAATTAAATAGTTCAGATCTGACAATTTCTCCAACACCGTAAATGGACCAGAAAACCTAGCGTGAAAAGGAGAGGTAACTAACGGCAACAGGGCTAGGACCTGGTCACCAGGCAAGAACTCCCGCTGGACCGTGTGACGGTCATATTGTTTCTTCATCTTAACCTGCACACCAGCTAACCGTTTTTTAGCCACCTCCTGCGCCCTGTACAACCGGTACCGGAACCCATTCACAAAATCCAGAAGGTTGCTAGGTGGATCAGACTCTATCCAGGCATCCCGCAAAAGCGCTAGAGGACCACGAACCTTATGGCTGAAAACAAGGTCATTGGGGCTAAAACCTGTACTCTCCTGTACCACCTCACGAGCGGCCAAGAGCATCCAGGGTAACGCCTCCTCCCAATCGCTTTGCATCTGCACAGAGAATGAACGCAACATTGATTTAAGAGTTTGGTGAAATCTTTCCAAAACTCCCTGACTCTGAGCATGATAAGCAGAGGAAAAATTGTGTTTAACCCTTAGCTGTCTCAAGACCTGATCAAATAACTTGGAACAAAAATTTGACCCTTGATCCGTCTGAATCACACGAGGAACACCAAAGACAGAAATAAACTGGGACAACGCTTTGACTACATTCTTAGCTGTAATGCTGCGCAAAGCATATGCAGCAGGATAGCGTGTGCTCCGACACATCACAGTTAACATATACATTGCACCAGACCTAGCAGGCGGCAGAGGCCCCACACAATCTATAAGTAACTGCTCAAAAGGCTGCCCAATAGCTGGAATTGGACTAAGCGGGACTGGCTTCAAGGACTGGTTCGGCTTACTTGTTAGCTGGCAAGTGTGACAGGACTTTATGTAGGAGGAGACATCCCTTTTTAACCGTGGCCAGAAAAAATACCTGAGCACGCGGTCATAAGTCTTCCTCACCCCCAGATGGCCACCCTGGTCATGCGAAATCTGTAAAACAGTCGTTCGATATTTCACAGGCACCACAACCTGATACACAGGTTCCCCCACAAAGCCCTCCAATTGAGGTGTCCATTTCCTCATCACGATCTCACTGTGCAAAAAGTAACATTTAGCCAGATTCCTGACCTCAGCCGCAGGACAAACCATTTCACCCAGCTCCTTCAGACTTTCATCCTCCTTCTGCTCCTTCACCAAATCACTGCAAGAAACTGACCAGGGAAGAACAGGCACAGACAAAGCACAATCCATAACTACATTCTCAGCTTCAGCTTTTAGCTTGTTTGAGCGTGTGACCACACAAGCTTTAAAAACCTCAGGGAACTGCAACTCATTTTCATCAGGCTTACTGTGAACCACAGGAGAAGTCGTAACCTGAGCTGGAGGTGGAATATCAGCCCAGACTCTGCTCCCTGCAATGTCGTTCCCAAGAATGAGTGAGACTCCATCCACAGGCAGCGCAGGACGCACTCCCATAGTCACTTCTCCCTGGAAAAAATCACAGTGCAGCAAAATTTTGTGACGAGGCACATTAACAACTTGGAGGCCCATTCCCACTACAGGCATATCTGAGCCCACAGAAGTTTCCAAAGAAAAAGGCAAGGCCGAGGCTACGATAAACGAGTCACCAGCGCCAGTATCGCGCAAAATCCTAACACGCACCCGTTCATCACTGCCCACTAGAGAAACAAAACCCTCTGTAATAAACGGTAAAAATGACTGCAACTCTGGAGTAACCTCAGACACTTTCGGACCTGCCGCGGACACAGTGCACATAGTAGGCTTTCGGCCTGGTGAGCCCTGACTAGAACGGCCTTTTAATGCGTAGCAGTCATTCTTCCAGTGACCCCTCATATGACAATAGTTGCAAACTTTTTCAGAGTCACGCCACAATCTGCCACCTTTAGCCTCCCCTTCAGGTGCTCTTCTTGGAACAAACCTAGGCTTATCTTCCCGATAACTCAGACCAGCACCAGGAGAATTACCTATAGCATGAGTCAAGTAAAAGTCATCGGCCAGTACCGCTGCATCCTTAACAGTTTTTACCCCACGCTCACCAATGTAAACAGAGATGCGCTCTGAAACAGAGTTCTTAAACTGCTCCATCAGGATCAACTCTTTCAAATCACAAAGTGTCTTCACCCCAGCTGAAGAACACCAGCTCTCAAAATGTGTAGTCAAATCACGCATGAACTCCAAATGTGACTTTTCACCACGCTTCCATCCACGAAACCTCTGACGGTATGCTTCAGGGACCAGTTCATAAATTTTTAAGACAGCGGCCTTAACATCTGTATAACTGGAACTTCTCACACTCCCCAGAGCAGACACAGCCTGTTGCGCTTTGCCCGTCAAAACACATTGTAGCATTAGCACACATGTTAAATCAGACCACCCCCGTGCCTCTGACAACTGCTCAAACAAAGAAAAAAACGTCTCTGGGTCTTTTTCATTAAACTTTGGAACCAATTTCAAATCACTCAGTTCATCTCTACTTCCATGTTCTCCTGAAGGTCTCTCGCCTTGACTCAAACTTCCAAACCTTCCTGTTCTCATCAGTTCAAGTCTCTCACGCTCCACTTCAATTTTAGCCAGTTCTACTCTTTGCTTCATTGTTTCTTTCTCCTGCTCAAGACTTAACTGTAACATTAGGAGCTCTTTTTGCTGCTCAAAAGACAAATTAGAACTCTGTAATGGTTGCAAAAACAATGAAGCAGCAGGCTGCTCTTCCTCCTTCAAAACTCCCCTCTCAATCAACTTAAACTTTAACTCAGACTTAACAACGTCTTTAAGCCTTCTAGTATCTCCAATGTCCACTCCATAATGCTCAGCCAATGCAATCAATTGTCTCTTTGTGAAAATATCCAAGCCAGAATGACATGGAGATTCAACAAAATCTTCAACGACTCCTTCCATGGCTATAAAACACACCAAGTGATATCTTACTAATGTAAAACAAAAGACAGGGATATCCCACTCACTACCTACCCCAAAGCTGACTAAGCTCAACCCTAGTCTTCGGGAAGCGTGGCGATGGGTTCTTATGCGCCAGATACCGCTGGTAAACAAGACTACCGAGCTGGCAATCCTGTAACCACGGCGCGCTCCCGAGCCGATGTAGGGAAAGGGGAAATGGGAAGCTGCGACCCGCTCTTAACTTCCACACTAAACACACCAATGCGAAGGATCCCCTAGAGGGAAACTCGCTAAGCCTAGCAGAGATTCCCAGTCTTTAAACACAGTACATTAGAAGTTATACACTTACCTTAGTTGTTAACCCGCCGCAGCGGCCTGAACCCAGAGCACACGGAGCAACACAAAACTTCTCCCGCACCTCCAAACACTTCCGGCACGTCCCCCCCCAAGAGCGCAACCCGCAACACCATAAACGGGCACTGACGTCAGTGAGGAATCACCCCAAGACTGTCACTCAAACTCACGGACTTCTCCAGACGGCACAAAGCCACAAATAACCAGTCCAATGAGACAAAGCGCTCAAACAAAATCCAAAAGGGATGACGGAAAAATGCCAAATTAGACTAATACCACTCAAAAAAAACGCGGATTCAACAGGACGAGCCCCCAATTCTGTTATGGCTTGGCTCTGAGCCACAACAAGAATAGGGGAGACGAGGCGGAATTAAAGTGCTCAAAAGTATATTTAATTGAGAGAACGGAATAACAAATATTAATATATACAAAAAGGTAAATATGGGGTGTGTTATGTAGAAGTCAGTGGTGTAGGTGCAGGTAATGCTTGTGTGCAGTGAGGGCGCCGTATGTGCGATATGAATGTAGGTGCATAAACCAAAAGACAAACTTAATAGTGCATGTTGAAGGAGAGCCAGGGAGGAGATGCAACAGGCACCAGGGCAGGAGTGGAATGGCCCTCAGGAGCGCGCAGAGAGAGCGCGTGCACCTATCCTCCAGGCTATATGCGCGTGCGCTGATTGCGTGCGCGAACACGCCCACTGCTTCAACGCCAACTGGTCCCCCTGTGCACACAGGAGACAGGAGCGGCAGGACGGAGACGCAGGAAAAGGCCCAGGCCCCCCATAAGGCCTAGCCCGTAACAGTAATTATGAGATATTACTAATGCTGGCCCAGTTCATACAGGCCAGGTTCCTTCCCCTCCATTGGTCCCTTCAGTCCTTTGGAACAATAACCACTATGGACATTAAACTGATTATATAGATACAGGTCCTAGCCCAATACTCATATTCATATATGCTGCACTTGCTACTTCCCATTAAAAACCCCAAAGATAAAAAGTATGTTGACACGGACTGCTCTGATTTTATGTGTGGTCTGTGCATGTGTAACTGAGCCTGCATCTGGCACAACATAGTTTTGATTTACCAGCAGCCAACCACATGGAACAAACTGTTAGTCCATGGGTCAGAGACCAACGAGAATGCACCAGCAAAATGATTCCTAACATTATTTTGTTTGCCTACAAAAGTACGTGGAGACCAACAAGAAACAAATCGCGGTCAAAAAGACTCGAGAGGACTCGAAAGTCAAACCGTAGGACTTGGGACTGACTTGAGATTTGTTGGCCTTTGACTTGGACTCGACTCGGGACTTGCCTGTCTTGACTCGTGACTTGACTCGGGACTTGAGGGCAATGAATTGAGACTGACTTGTGACTTGCTAAACAATGACTTTGTCCCACCTCTGCTCCCCTCACTGTGCTGCACTGCAGCCTTGTGTATAGTCGCGCGGCGCGTAGCTAGTAGTAGTGTCTCCCAAAGTGGGGGTCCGCGGCCAATGAGGCCCTGAAACCTTGTAAACTTCGTCGTCATTTGGAGACCAAGCATGGACAGTTTTTATCAAAGCCAAGGGAGTTTTTTGAAAACAAATTACGAGAATATATGCAACGCAAGAAGGCTATTGAATCAACGTGTGTGACCGGGGGAGAGTATGCCAGGGCCGTGGAGGCCTCATACAGAGTGTCAAAGTTAATTGCGCAAACTGGCAAACCGCACACAATAGGAGAGGACCTCATTCTACCTGCTGCTAAAGAAATGGTGAACATGGTGATTGGTGAAAATGCAGCAAACAAACTAAACGTGATATCATTGTCTGATAATACAGTGAAGCGCCGCATCGATGACATGGCTGAAAACGTGTTAAATCAGCTTGTCACCAGAATCAAAGAAAGCCGTTTTTATGCAATACAAATCGACGAGTCCACGGATATAGCAGCCTTGGCCAATTTGCTTGCTTTTGTAAGGTACGAACATGATGGGGACATACATGAAGATTTTTTGTTTTGCAAACCCTTACCATCAAACACGACTGGAGAGGCCGTATTTGAAGCGATCAATGATTTTATGGTTTCAAATGAAATCGACTGGGCAAAGTGTGTGGGACTAAGCACAGACGGAGCCAGAGCCATGGTGGGACGACTAACCGGAGTAGTCAAACGAGTGAAGGATGTGGCCCCACTGCTGACAGCTGTCCACTGCAGCATCCACCGTGAGGCTCTGGCCACAAAGACGATGCCTGCAGACTTAAATAAGGTGTTGAATGAAGCTGTAAAAACTGTCAATTTCATCAAAAGTCGTCCCCTGCAGTCCCGCTTGTTTGGGATCCTGTGCGCGGAGATGGGGAGCGAACACAGACAGCTTCTCCTTCACACAGAGGTCCGGTGGCTCTCACGCAGCAAAGTGCTCACACGCCTTTACGAACTGCGCGATGAAGTCAGAGTCTTCTTTGTGGACGTTCGTTTTGAGTTGGCCGAGCGATTCTGCGACTTTGAATGGCTCTGCAAGTTGGCTTATTTGGCTGACATTTTTGGATACTTAAATGGACTCAACCTGTCACTACAGGGGAAAACAGTGACTGTGTTTCAAGTGCAGAATAAGATTGATGCCACAATTAAAAAGTTTGAGATGTGGGATCGCAGAGTTGGACAAAATAACTTTCAGTCCCTGGACAGCTTGTCGGACTTGTTGGGCAGCGAAGAGAGTGAGATTCCCAGGTCGGTGGCAAGCGCTGTCAGCGCGCACCTGCAGGCCCTCGGAACCCAGCTTCGCAAGTATTTCCCTGCACAAGACGACATGAACAACTGGATAGAAAACCCATTTGTTATCCAGGCTCAGGACGCAGCAGGACTTTCTTCAAGAGAGCAGGACAGCCTCGTGGAACTATCTTGTGATAGCTCATTGAAACTGGAATTTACGCAGACTCACTTGGTGCGCTTCTGGATACTCGTTTTCAAAGAATATCCACATTTGGCTGACAAAGCCATTCGTTTCCTCATGCCATTTTCCACCACGTATCTCTGTGAGACTGGATTTTCATCCCTAGTTGCATTAAAAACCAAGTACAGGAACAGACTGGATGTCACCTCTGATCTCCGCTTAAAGCTGACCACCATTCAACCCAATATTGGGGCTTTAGCATCCGCTATGCAACACCATCCGTCTCATTAGGTGAGCTAAACTATTGTATTGAACGAATATTTTTCCTTGATTAATATGCATTTGTGCTGGCCTTTTTTATCTGTTTGATTTTGAGAGCGTTTGTGTGCTCATGTCAGGGTTCATTGTGCGCTGGAATGGCCTGAATTAAATTTTACTTGGTCTGTTCATATTTTATGTTCATTATTTTACTTGAATAATCTAATTGTAATAACTTTTGTTTTACAAAACGGTTGTAGCAGAGGTTATATCCTCCAAATAAATTGACGAGAAGAGCCTATTTTTAACGTGTCGTCTTGGTTATTATTTTGGGGGCCGCGAAGACCCGTCAGATTTTTAAGGGGGCCGCGGTCTTGCTGACTTTGGGAATGGCTGCTTACGCCCTTACGTCGCCTGCGTAGGTCCAACGTAATTAATAGTTACCTAATGTAACTTAAGTTCTACGAATAGGTGCGTAGTCCCTTAGGACTTCGCTAGTGGGATATCACTCGTGACCCCCAGGTCACACGCCAGAAAGATCAAAATAATTTGCTCCAATCACCAGCCACCCTCCTCTATAAAGGACCCTGCACAAGGCCGCACCCCCTCTTGAACTCTGCCAAGCCGGGCTGGCCTGATGGGCTCGTAGCTAAGGGACTACGCACCTATTCGTGGAACTTAAGTTACATTAGGTAACTATTAATTCTACGTCATGGTGCTACGTCCCTTAGGACTTCGCTAGTGGGACACTCCTCCTGCGCGCCCCCCGCAAAAAACGTTTAACCAACGGATGAGAGCGGGCTGTGAACCCCCCGAATCCGTCGTGACCCGAGTTAATGGCTGCCGCGAACACCGCCAAGGTGGCGACAGCCCTCCCTTTGTCAAAAAGCTCCTGTAGGAATCCCAGGACCCCTTCCAGCGGGCAACGCCTGGGATCCCAGGAACGAGAACCGCACCAGTCGCTGAATAGCCTCCACCTCGTGGCGTAGGCCCTCACAGTGGACGGCGCCCTCGCCCCCTGAATGGTCTCCCCCACCGCAGGGGGAAGACCCAGGTCTACGAGGTTCCGCCTCTCAGCTTCCAAACCCAAAGCCTGCGGCCGATTATCGGGCGTGAAAACAGGGCTCCCCCCCCCTGGACTAGAGCCCCCGGCTCGTCCGGGAGGGCCCAGGGTCACCGACCTCCTCTCCTGTTCGATCCTCCTCCGCAGGACCGGCAGGAGACGCACTGGTGGGAAAGCATACAGCAGGCCCTCTGGCCAGGGGTAATGAGCCCGAGCGTCCACGCCTAAGGGCGGCTCGTCCGCGGCCTTTAAGGCGAACCAGGACGGGCACTGTGCGTTCTCTGCACTGGCGAAAAGGTCGACCACTGGACGGCCGAACCTCCGCCAGATCTCCGCAGCTACCCGTGGGGCCAGGCCCCACTCGTCCTGGAGTGGGCCCCCCCTGGACATCCTGTCGGCCCCCACGTTCCGGACCCCCGGGACGTGGCGCGCCCTCAGAGACAGGAGGTGAAGCGCCGCCCACAGCAGCGTCACCGTCGCCATGCGATGGAGAGCGGGGGACCTGGTGCCCCCCTGCCTGTTCAGATAGGAGACCACAGTGGTGTTGTCTGAGCGCACCATCACGTGTCTCCCCTGTAGCTGAGGAGCAAAGTGCAGCAGTACCTTGTGCACTGCCTCCATCTCCAGCAGGTTGATGTGACGGGCTGAGTCCGACCAGCAGCCTCCTACAGAGCTCTGGCCGAGGACCCCGCCCCATCCTTCGCGTGACGCGTCCGTGAACACCTCCACGTGAGACACGGCGCAGGCTAGAGTCACTCCGTCCCGCAATAGACCCGGAGTGAGCCAGAACCTGATGTCCGATGCTGCCACTTGGGGAACCCAGATAAGCCTCCCCCCGTCCCGGGAGGAGTGCAGCCTGAGGCGTGAGAACCACCTCTGAAAATTCCTCATGTGGAGAAGGCCTAGCCGCACCACA